TTTTGTAGAAACGAAAAATGTTTTGCAAGTTATGTATCATTTCTCCACTCTTTCTTCAAATATTTGTCGTATTCCAGCTGTGCGCAGGCGTTTAGTTTTTCGCATCGTATTTTTACATATTCGTAATTTAAATTTTTTTTAATAGAATCAATTGGTGGTAGTTCATGATTGTGTGTGGATTAATATCACAACACTGAGGATTTGGCAAAAGCCTTTTTCATCTATTAAAAAACAACACTTACGGGGCAATGTTTATTGTAAGAACAACATTTTTTTCTATGAATCGACATACTTTAAGCATTGTTGACGCTATTTCCATTTGAATGAGGAAATAGCGTCAATGACTTTATTTCCAAATTTTTGTTGACTTCGCTTTCGAAAAGGTCACGATTGAGAGAATACAAAGGTTGCGCCGATCTCGGACCGCTATTCCTCTCTTAACTAATTTGACAGAATCGTTGTTTGCATGACGTCACACTTGTGCAACTTGTTTACGTTTTCCTTGCAACATTTTTTCTCCTTCTTCCATTCTTGCTCACGTTTTGGCATTTCTCTCTCGCAATTGCACCAGTGTGACGTCACACAAAAGTTATTCTCTAAAATCCTCTCTGATCGGCGCAATCTTGTATTCTATCATTCTTGCGAAAAGGTAATAATGTCAATTGACTTTATTTCGCACCAGAGTGGGAAATAAAGTCAATTGACCTTATTTCCATTGACCTTATTACCTGTCACCTCGAAAACGCCTACAGACGGTCGCCTAGCTGCAAAGAAAACCGTTAGCAGTTTGGCAGTGCTGAAATGTGAGTGTTTATTGTAAGCTGCACCCTAAGCCTGCTTTTGTTGGGTATTTGGCCTACTTTAAGGTTTTCCACTCACATGTATGCATACCTATGTATATATTATTAGGGTGGTCCTTAAGATTATCAACATACGAATTTTGTATGCCGCCTCTTTTTAATTGTACTGCGTACAAAATAAAACGTCAATGGAAATTTTAAAGTTTAAAATAGTTTAAATTTTATTCTGCTAACTGGACATACTCGTTTATTGAAGACTATTCACATACATACATTCGATTCGCCAAATCTATTCATCATGCATTATTAAGCTCCAAAGAGTGTAATTTGTTTAAGTTATTTTTTTGGACTAATTGAACCATTTTTTATATTGTTTTTTCTATAACACTGGTTAACAGATAACTTTTTTCTTGAAAAATTACCAATAAACTCATGTTTAGGGAAAAGTTAGTGACGACTTCTTGAGCTCAAAGTGCATATTTTTAATTTTTGTTTTAGCAGTTTTTTGAAATTATTGCAGTTTTAGTGTTTTCGGGTAAGATTTTTTTTTTGACTAAACTGACTAGTCAAATCAGACAATTTACATACGCGTCATATATACCACTTATTTTTATCGGACCAACATTTGCTGAGTTATAGCTGGTCAAAGCCAAAGTTTCGTGCGATTTAAAGAATTAAAATTTTCCATGCCCTAATAGCGACTCCTACAAGTTGTTTTTTTAATTGAGAAATTTTGGAGAAATGTTGATATTTTAAGCACCACCCTAATATGCATCTCCTCGAAAATCTTTCACTTCAACAGCAATGACGTTTCGGGCCGCAACAGCTGCAGACGCCAAGCGCGGCATAAGCGGTAGCGGTGAAAAATAATAATTTCCCATTCACATTCCACCGATTACATAAGGAAAAACAGCATTTGGGCAAATACATATTGACGACACAAACATATGTAAGTATGTTATTTGTCGCACATACAGACAGACATACATACTATGCAAACATATACTGACTTAGCCAAGTATATATAGAGCACGTTATTTGTGTGGGTGAAAAGCTCTTTTCAACTATCGATATGCTGCCATTTTTGCATTTTTCAAGGCCCGCGCCCATGATGTGTAAGCATAAAATATTCTGCAAATCAAAGTAATGCACTTGTGTGTGCCAATGTTGGTGAGTTCGCGTATGCGTGTGTATTTGTAAAAATATGGTTTTCCTGAATTTTTTTCCCAGAGATATCTACTTATATTTTATATTTTTATGATTTTCTTTTAAAATTTTATTTTATTTTTTAAATTTTTTCAATTTTCTCAGCACTTTTACAGCTTGCATTTGCATTTCCCTGACGCTGCCACAACCAGCTGCAATCAGTGCAAGTGCTCATCGGCCGCTTGGGAAAATCATTTAATGTGAATGTCTGTGTGTTAGTATCTATGTGGATAGTGGCGTGATGATTTTGCAGCAATAAGCCTAAAATTTTCAGGCCACGGCAGCTTTCACTCTATGAGTCACTAGAAAATGCAACTATCTGAATAATTTACAATTTTTTCCATAGAGTAGACAATTTTTATGCAGCAAGTGCACATGCAAAGTTGCCAACAAATAGTACTCCTGGAATCATATCGTTAAAATAATTTTTTATTCTAAATTACAATTCCCAAGCAGTTCTTTGATATCGGTTGTGTTAGTCGCAGTTATGTATATATATATATATATATGAACCCCGCAAAACACCTAGAAATTACGAGAGTGAGTTTTCTTACAACGTACCCAGAAAAGTGTTACATTTTACTTTTATTTAACTAAACGAGGTATCTGTCTCTGCCTCGTTGGCCTCGTTAATGCGCAGTAGTAAACGGTCTTACAAAATCTCTAACTGCCTTTTGACCTTTTCAACTTTCAGCGGCTGGTTTAGAGGCCGTTGACCATGCCCTTAGAATGCCAGAATACACTAACCAATAACCGAGTGACTTTAGACTCCATCTTGTAGAGCCGTAAAACATTCCGAGAGAAACGACTTGTGTGTGGACTTAGTAGAGCTAGCGCCGCTTACCGAGGGCAGTTTTCATAACATGTTTTCTTGTAAAAATTTCCTTAAATAGTTAGTTAAACCTTTCATTTGAAAGAGCACAAAGTGGAACATCACCCTTTTTTAAGAGTTTAAAGCATCGAACTATGAGGCAGGGCATATTAGAGAAAATACGCACTATCCAAAAGCGATTGTAAAGTTTTAATATAGAGCCTTTACAGTCGGGCTTCTACCCAGCAATGCGAACAGTGGAAAGAAGAATTGGCCAAGTAAGTCAGTTAAAATTCTACTATCGTGTAAGGACACATCAGCCACGGTAGCTTATTCAACTGAGCTGAAAGCCCAAGAATTTGAATTGATTAATTTGCCTAACTTAAGCGGCAGCCAAAACAGTGGGCAAAAGTTGACAGAAGGCTAATTGTTTCTATTGAAAGTTGTATCGAATTCTGTGTAATGTAAATCTTTATATTTGTTTGAGGAATCGAACCAAGTGATCAAGAAATCGACTACTCTGTAGCTGAACCCACCTTCTAGACAAAAGGGTGGGCAATGGAGTCTTCTCTGAGGAATTAGCATTTATAAGGCAGAAGTTCTAGCCATAAAGGAGGTAGCTGTCTACCCTAATATGTACGCCGTAACGAAGAAAACAATAAATATATTTTCAGATAGCCAAGCGGGCTTCAAATCAATGAATGCGATAATGTTAAGACCAAAGAATGCAAGGAGTGCCTGGCAGCCCTAAATGACATTAGCACCGCCATCAAGGTCAGCCTCATATATATAGGTCCCCGGACATAAACATATTGCAGGAAATTGTAACCTGCAAACTTCGTATTCTTCTCCTAAATTGGCGCTGTAATTTCCTAAGCGTCGTTTCTCTGCTTCTGTGCCGACTAACGCCAATTGGAAATGCCTAGTGAAGTAAAATCTTTCTCTTCTTGTGCAGTTGCCCAGCCTTAGCTAAGAACAGAGCCAGATTTTTAGGTAAGCAATTCTTTACCTCTCTCACGGTACTATCGGGTGTAGGAATAAAAGCAATCCTACGCTTTATAAGAGCTTGAAAATGGTTCCATGAAATATAGTGAGTGAGGTTTCTAAGCTTCATAGTGGTATCTATTATTGAAAACCATAAGTATGTGCAACGTTTTTAAATGTTGCATTTTTCTCTGTAATCCTATGTTTTGGACAGACCACCCATCAAATGCCCAGACAGTTGTTAAGTCTATACTTATTGACATTAAGCCTATAAAGTAAAAATCAACCCCAAAATGTTGACCCTCCTTTTCCTCAGTATTCTTAAAGTCAGTTGACTACTTCTAAGTTTTCTTAAAATTCTATAAGTGAAGATACGTCCCTTACTAGAATTTTTATGATATTTGAGCATTTCTTATACGTGCCAAGCGAGTAAAAAAAATTATGTTCTAGACCTAAAACTCTTTTTTTTTACGTATGCAAATTTATAAAAATATGTACCTATACCTAAGTCATCAGAAAATACAGTAACATGTAAACTCTCGCTCTTGACAAAATTATTTATCGTTAAATAAAATCAGAGTACTCACTAACTTGCATATGTTGTATTTATCTTTTAAACATTCCTACATTTGTTCAGTTATGCTGAACTAGCCCTACATACTTATACATAGAATTATATATAAAAAAATAGTACCAAAACACTTACTTAGTATAGTAGCTTATTATATAATTCATTTATTCCTTAAATTACTCTCATTTATTTAAAATTTAAATATGTGACCTGGTCTACGAAAAGGGAGCTTACGTGCGAAAAAAGTTTTCTGTGAAAAAGCTGTTAAAAGTGAAAATCATCTCATCTTCCATCCGAATCAACCAAAAAGTGAAAATTGATTTTTTTGACACCTAAGCCCCCTTTCCGTAGACCAGGTCACATATGCTTATTTTAAGTACTTGATTTTAACAATACCTATTTCTACGCTAAACATACGTAACTTAGTTTTTTAATTTAAAATTAATATAAATATTTATATTTCTTAATAGTAGATAAATGCATTATATATATGTATTGGTTAGTTCTTCCCAATGTAAAATAATATTTCCTACGTAGGTAAGTTTCATGTTTGTAGGTAGTTATTATGTGCGCTTTGGTTTTAGTTTTTGGTTATTTTCTTTTCTAAAGTTTCTTCAACTGTACTCACCTATCGGCTGGTGCTGAACCGGAAGCCGGCTTTAGGCTTCTAAATGCTTTCAGCCACTTTGTTTTCATCGATGGCGCGGTCGCGGCTGAAAGTTTACGCTCGGCGCGTGGCGAACCCGGATCAACTTTACTCACGTACAAATCTTTCTGTAATTAAGAAGAAAAAAAAAAATACAAAAACAATTGTTAATTGATAAAGTTTTATTTTAGTGTTTTGAAATAAAAATGTAAAACGCAGGTATCCCCACTTTTAGTTTTAAAAAAGGATTGTCCGAATCCAAAGTATACGACTACATATTTGACTGCTTTTTTAATTGAAAACTTGAGCACAAATTAAGTATTAATAACCAAAATATATGGAATAAAATACAGCATCAAATCTACATACTTATGTGTATATATTAAAACATGCTTTAAATTGTTGTTACTGGTTACTCAGGCTCAAAAATGCTTATAAGCAAATAGTTTACCGAGTTGTGTTGAGAGATTTCCACTTACAATTCTCGTGTAAATATATCGAGCCCTAACCGCCAAACAGAGGTAAATAAGCGAAATTTATTTATTTTTTTTTCAAATCCTTTCTTTTGAGCAAAAATGCATCTATATTCTCTAGGAGTATTTCTGCATCAAAAATAAAATTTCAAAAGAAAGATCGCCTACTCCTTTTTAGCGGTTAGGGGTCGATGTATTTATTTATCATTTTATTATTATTCAGCCATTCGGACCAAGTCAAAAAAGTTGGCTATTATTTAGGTGAATTGAAATATTTCAAAAAATAATATCAATGGGCCATGAAATTTATAATTCTATTTTAAATATATAAATATAAATATCAGCGTTTCGATACACATAAACATTATCTTTTAATTGTGTATGCGTGCTATAAATACCAGAAACATGCAGTATTCTTATTTGCTCTGATGGTGCCAGTTAGAATTAGAGCCCTACGCTCACCTAGACTGAACTGAGAATATATATTTCTTCTCATTGAAGTAATGAAAGCACTGTAACGAACATCCTAGAGAGAGAGAGAGCGATCGGACAACTTTGACTGATGTCGTTTAACATGCCGCATGGCGACAAGATAGAATAACCTCCGGTGTTGCAAAGGTGTTAAAAATGAACGCGAACTCTTAGCCACTTGCAACTTGCACTTTATTATACTAAAATTAAACGATCTAAAAACCTGCACACCCAACATTTTACTAAAAACAAAAAACAAATTTTATTTTGGTGAAATTTTTTTACACTTGAATTTTTTTTTGTGATTTCCTTTTTCATGAACTGGAAAAAAATCGATTTTTTTTTAACTGCTACTTTTTCCGCATTTTGCGCTAAAAAAATGTAATATAAGAATATCATAATTAAAATTTCGGGCTCAATTGGGGTCTTGCTAATTTTGTAAGCTTTCATTAAAAATAGATTAATCAAATTGGTTGAAAAATTAAGGTTCCAATGAATTGTGAACATTAAATTCCAGTTTAGATCCACTGTGCTCTGGTCGACAGCGGAGCTTTCTAATCCGAGAGCGTGAAGCATACGACGTGCCAGGATAAGCAAAATGTCTCATGTCATACTGTAAATGTACAAATAAAAAATTAAAAAGGCGAAATGGGTTTAATTTGAAATCTTTTCGGAAAGCTTGTAAGAGTGACATGAATTCAAATTTCGCCTTCCCAGGTGAAGCCTCCCTGGCTCCCTGAATCTATTCGAGGGTTGCACTGCTCTTTCCGTATTGCTCGACAAACGTCGCCTGCCAAAGGTATCAGGTTCTCGGGACCGTTAGGTGCTTGCCTTGCGATGGATAAGGTAAGTTGGGGGATTGCAGATAAAAAATACCCGTATAAAAGGATCACCTTTTTTAAATATTGAAATTTTATCAAAAAGTTAAAAATCCCAAAATATTCCTAAATTTGTTATTCTTTCCTAATATATTTAAACTGTATTGCATTAACAAAGTAAAGCCTAGTTTACATATTTAGTTAAAGAAAACAAGTGAAAATATCCGATTTTTTTAATTGAAAAAAATATAAAAATATCAAAAATAATGACACCTTTATAGCGGAAATTTTGTTCTTATCGTGGAAGCAACCCCCAATCTACCTTCTCTTTGAGCGTAACAATCCTGAAACCGCGTCAATACCACGCTTCGCTAACATTTAAATATTCACAATTTATATTCATACTTATTACGCATTGTGCTACTTCAGAAATGCATTCCGCCCGTAACTTGAATGGCAATAAACCGCGATAATTGCATCTCTCAACAGGAAAATTGGGAATTCATTTCCAACGCACACAGAATTTTTCAATCCTTGGCTTTTTATATTCGGATGCGCATTAAGTAGTCTTTCCTTTAATTTTATTACAAAAATTATTACTATTTTCTGGGGGAAAATAAAGCGAATTGAGTTTGCAACTTTTTAAAACCTACTATTGAGCTTAAAATAAATAAGAATACCTGAATTACCGCAATTGCTACCCGTCGATGTTCGGTTGTTTACACGGTTGAATAACAAAAATACATAAATACACAAGTACGTGCCCTCACTGTAATCAATATTTGGATGCAAAAAAAAATTTCTCCGGCAATATTATACAAGATAATTTTTATTTACGAAAAATAATAACTACAGGCTGAGCTGATTTTTAATGCCGATATTTACATAAATACTTGAGACCAGATAAAAGTAAAAAAAAAATAATAATAAATACGTATTTCAGAGCAGAGGAAATCGTAAGTAGCTAGCCAAATGAATAGCGCACAAAAAAAAAAAAATCCTCTTCTGTCAATAATATACGAGTGTGAACATAGAGGCTGATGTATGTACATACATATGTATGAATGTAGATATGTGAGCTTTAAAGTCGAAGGATTCGTTATATGTAAACATATACAAATATATGTATTTTGCTATGATGTTGATGTGATCACTTCTCGGTATATGTGGGCGCATACATACACATACATACTATTTACAATGTGTCTGTGAGTAGATATGTACATATGTGCGACTTTTTCGTGTCGGAGTTTGCGTGAAAGTGGCCAACCTCATTTCTCATAATGCATCATTGCCACTTTTAATATCCTGTCACGTTGGTGATGGTTGCAAACTTACGGAAAAAAGTACACCATTTTTAACGGAAAATAAAATATGTATTTTAAAATGCAGAAAGTTGTGAGATTGTTGCACAGGTTTCTGTGTATACTGTCGAAATACTTGACAGCTCTGTACTACTTAAATGAAATGCACTCAGAATATCGGTAGCATGACTAGTGATATCTATGACAGCGAAATTGACAGGAGACGGAAGTATATAAAAATGTGTGGACAAAAGACGCCAAGAGACCGACGAATAAAAATAAATATTTAAAGTGGGAAATTAACGGGTATTTGCATGAATTTTTAAATGGGTGCAAACACAAAAATGATATGTGTTCTGTTCGTGAATGGAACAATCTAGGCGGCCATGAGTCAATTTTTCAAAGTTTGAAGAGAATTAAAAAAAAGTAGTCACATTTGATAGAGAACATTCCGAAGAGCATAGCGGATCAACAATTCAAGTTATATTTTATCGTTATATTTTTTCGAACATTATAGAATTTTAATTATTTAAGAAGTTAAATCAATTAATCAACATTATGGGTATCGATCGAGATAGTTTTGAAAAGGCTTCATTTCAAACTATATGTAGAAGGGTTGCCGCTTGTTTGAAAAATCAAGTTAAACTTAAATGAAGTCAACTAGGGTGTCAGACGAAAACAGATTTTGGTCTGAAACATTATGAGCAGGGTTGCCAACTCTTTAAAAATTTCAATTCAATGTATACAGGTTAAGTAAATTACTAGAATATGGAATCAAACAAAATGGCTACATGTAGGAGGAATGCCACATATTTTAAAAATTACATTCAACTTGAAATAAGGGAATAGCCAATTTAAATATCCATTAAAATATGGGTGTCAGACAAAACAGGTTTAACAAAGATTTATTTTAAAATGTTTTAATGGGGTTGCCACCCGTTTGAAAAGTTGAATTTAATTAAAATTTGCGTAAGTTATATGAAATATTAAAATATGAACGTCAAAGGAAGGAGTGGTAAAAAATCCTTGCTTTAAACATTTATAATATTAAAGTGGGTTGCCAACTGTTTAAAAAGTTAAAATCAAATTATTTGATAAATTAACGGAATTATTCAGAAGTTCGGTATCAAGTGAAGTGCATTTAAAAGGCTTTATTCCTGAACTATAATTAGGAGGGTTGCCATGTATTTCAAAAATGGAATTCAACTGAATTCAGTCAGACGGAAAAGATTTACTAATTTGTAAAATCAGTATATTTAGCCGGGTTGTCACCTGTTTGAAAAGTTGAATTTAGCTAACTTATACACAATTCCCAAGACGACCACGAACACGAAGACGAATATTAATGCGGGACTTAAAATACTATTAAAAGTCATCTAAATTTCTGCAGTACAAAACGAAACAAAAACGAATCGAAGTAGTGGCAGATGGCGCTGGTCAAATATGTACTCATAAAAGATACTCGTCATGGCATATACTTAATAGCTGATGGCACATATGATTGAAGTTAATGCGGATCTGCTTCCCTTTTGCTAATAGTTAATATTTTGTATTCCCATTGATTTACTGAATTCAATGTAATACAATTAAAACGAATATTTCATTTAAAGTTGTTAGCAAGAATGTGCTCTTAACAATATCACGTATTTGATGTTTAAGTTTAGGAGCTGTGGCTCCGACACAGCCCACAAGTCAAGACGAAGGCGCTGGATGAACCTGTTTTTATTTTTTTTATTTTCAAATTTCCTCAGATATTATTTCGATTATAATTTAAACGCAATATTTTGCGCGAATGGGAATATGAAGAAACACGTTTTTTTTTAATTGGATCAATTGGTGCATAATATAAAAAATTGGGACGATCATGTCTTTATCGATTACACGATTGGAGCAACGCATATGTAAAAGCTTGGTTTGAAATTCATTGGAAGAATATATGAAAACATTTTGTTGTTTGATTGGAACAAAGAACTTTTGCAAATTTAGAAGCTTTTCGTAAACTTTCAAAATTTGTGAACAAAAAATGTTTCATAGTTTTTCGGATTCTTACTTTTCACGTTTG